GGTATGTCTAGTGACTATATAGTATATAGTTATATACTTATATATAGTTTCTTCCATACCATTAATTTTATTTTAGTCTAGTCACTTCATACGTAATTACGAGTAGTAATGAGGAGTGTTAGAAAAACACGCATATATATATGTCAAATAACTATATACTTTGTATTTTGTTGGACACCGCCGCCAAAAGAGAGATTGATATACATTCGGGTGTATCGTATACCTATTAGTATTTTATTCTCATTTTGAATATTGTTTTTTATTTAATAATAAAATAAAGAACATAAACTTATTTTGGGTTAGTTGGGTACGGTGTACGGTGCATCCGAGTATATATAACAAATTTCAACTCTAATATTGAAAGAAAATAAAAATGAAGAGCTAAGGTTTGGATAATAAATAGATAAATAAATAATTAAAAAAAATCATAATTATTCATATTCATTCATCAATAATAGCAGCAATTGGAATTTATTAGCTTTATATTAAAACTTGTTTTAAATAAAAAGCTTAATATTAAAAGTTTAAAACTCATTGTAATGTCTTATGTGAATGTCCCACATAGATAGGCAAAAAAGAAGATATTGTTTCACCTTATAAGATAGAGGAGTTATTATTATTGTCTCCAATTGGTTTTAATTTGTAACCTTCATAAGCCTTATTTGTGGATTAAACTCTTGTTAGAGATATGATATTTTCTGATATATCATATCTCTAACAAACTCTCCTCTTTTTTATTTGGATAACCTAGGCCTATTTTATATTATCTCCAAATTTATCACGGTACCTAAATCCGAGTTGATTTGTAAGTGTCTCACATTAAAGCCCCACATTAAAGAAAGAAGATATGGTTCATTGCGTGGTTAGCCAGGAAAAATATTAATGTTATAATCTTTTAACTTGAAAGATTTTTTGCACTTCCTTAAAAATGGACCTCCAAAATCTATTTAATTAAGGGATTTTTTTTTTTTTTTTTTTTTTTTTTTTTTTTTTTTTGCCTAGGTCACAAATATTATATCCTTTCCTTTCCCCCTTTCTCTTTCTAAAATAAGAGCACTGAACCACTATGTTATTCATAATAATTGCATTATTATTAGATGGTCGAGCCCTACTAGTCTACTACTTTATAAAATTAACACACGTAAAGGGGTGAAGCCATGAAGAAAATAGTTTCTTGCTTATCGTGGTCATCTCATTACCCTTATTGTCTAAAATAAGGTTCAAAATGTAGATTTTATTGAGGTGATGTGCATAGCTAACGTCATTTTGTGACATGTCTAATCGGAAAATAAATCAATGTTTACCAAACACATTAATGGTATAAATTAAAAAGGGAAAAAATATCAACTAAAATAACTGGTAAGAAATGGATCAGCTCATGACTGGTGACTAATAATAGACCCCACTTATTTAATTAAAAAATAGTTCGAGTACAGTAGGTGTATACAAGTATTGATAAAACAATAAAACATGTAAAATGTTGATACCATGTAAGACCCTATTATGAAAAAGACATTTAATTCATTTATTACCACATTAAAAATTAGAACAATTATATAGGTAGAGGGTACGACATATTAATATATTATCAAGGTACTTCCAAGTTAATATTGCTCATACTATTCAAAGTAATTAGAAACACTTTTTTTAAGTGGAAAATGAAAAAATCATGCAATGGTCACTGAAGAAAGAATTGACATAATTGTTGCATAGGCATGTGGATACAACGATGCAGCTAGTCTGCTAAGATACATTTTTGTCTGAATTATACATAAATGTATCTGTACTAGCTAGGATTATTCTCATGGTTGATTTGTAAGCATATATTAGTACTCGCAAATTTTATTTTTTTTTTTTAATTTTTTTTTTTTGACAGTACGTAGATCAAAGATTTTATTGCCACCAATATATTCTACGGAGTATGATCGATTGAGTTTTTGATAATTAATTAGGATCTTAGGAGTTGTAATGGACTAATGATATGTCATCTTAGCTTGCTTTTTAGGTTAACATTTGCCAACTTATTCCAGTCCAACTCATAAAAAATAATGAAATTGGTTAACTTAATGTTATAGGGTATAATAAAACTTTGTAATATTAGGCAAACGAAGTTTGCTGTTTGCACTACTAATTTAAGCATCACATGACCGATTAGCTAAGCTTTCTGTGTAAGAAATGATTTCTACTACCTTCGTTTCTTATTATGTGCAATAAAGGGGTATTATTTGTGAGACATAAAATATTCTTTTGTTGCACATAATAAAAAACAGAGGTAGTATATAACATTATTTCCCTTGATTTAATTTGTTCGTTTACATTATCTTTATATTTTGTTTTTTAACATGTGTGTATCAGACCATATTCGTATTTCTTTCCCCTCCTTGACACATTTATAGTGATAAAATTTGTAATCAAACTCCTACACAGAACAATATATAAATGCTAAGTTGCTAACTTTTGTGTTCACACCAAACCACCCAAAGTGCATAATAACAGGGAAAAAAATTTTGTTCACACCAAAACACCAATTTCACCTTCGAAAAATTTATATTCTTGCTTATTTGTATTCTCAATACTCATACAAAAAATAGTAAGTATTAAGGTCCATTTTACCGTAGCTAACTTCTATTATTACTCTATCTGTCCCCTTTTGTTTGTTACTAATAATTCCATTTGTAATCATCACTTAAATAGAGTTTATTAGTGACAATATAAAATATCATCACATATTGTAATCAAAGTATAGAAAGTTAAAGACAACAAAGGTATATTCTATTACAGTCACTAGCTAGTCTAGTAAGACAATCATGATGGATGCAATAAATGCATCCATTTCTCCTACCATGCATTAGTATTTAGTAATAGTACATAGTATAGAAGTTTCAGCATCACCATAAAACCTTGGTGGCTAGTTGTTGAATCATCAATGACGCAAAGCTGAGGACCTCAATCATTCAAGGATAGATCTTTTTTTGACGGGAAAAGGATAAATCGAGTATGAAACTGCACCACAAAATATGGTTGTTATGTTAGCCTATCAAGTAGGGTATTACCATTCCGGCCGTGGTGGCTGGTGCAATCATTTGTTTAACGGAGGATGGTGATCGGAGCTGCTCGATGACTAGCACATACCGACAGTTTCCCTAGTTGTATGGTCTAAAAAAATTACTAAGATTATCAAAAACAAATTCCAAAATATTGAAAACCTACCAAATATTAACAAAACTAATTAGTTGAAATGTCAATGTCAATGTCAATTAAAGTTGAACTCGAACTACTAAGGTTAAGGTTTTCTCTTGATGAAAAAAAAAAGTCCAATAGGGTAATAGACTTATGAATTAAGCTGACTCCCTTTTTTTTCCAATGTGGGATAAGCACAACCTAACTGAAGGAATTGGTAGTTGTTTTTTTTTTTTCTAAGAATTAGTGATTCTCATATTTAACATTTTTTATTGGAAAGACTTTTTAAAAATATTAAGATTTAACTTCAATGATGGGTGTCACCCCCTAAATAATGTATTGGGCTTCTTCCTTTAGGAAGTATACATAAATAACTTCAAATTACCTACTTCATTACAGGGTTATTAAAGTTGAGGATAATTATTTATAGGGAGAAAACATGGAATCACAATGTAATGTTGACGATGTGGTATCCCCTTATTATAGTACAAGACTTAAGAACCTAGTTAACTACTACGTAATAGCATCAATTTAATACAATAAGATCCAACATAATTTTTGAAATTAAATTTAAATTTATTGCTTTAAAAACTGTATAACAATGACCCAAGAACAAGATCAAATGTTCAAGATTAATGTTGCATAATCAGAAACTTAGTAATTGACTGATAGATGTGATAGACATTTTGCTTAACTATTCCATTTCAAGATGTACTTAACAATAACATCAATAATCCCACATCAAGTAGAAGAAATTGAAGCAAGATTTACTCAAAGTTGATAAAATATGCCGACTTTTTTTTTTTTTTTTTAAATATTTTTTTTAACTGACAAAGTCAAAGTTATTATTGGACAAGATTTTTAGAAAATTATTAGTTTTAATTTCATTGGTGGGAGTCTTTTTAAAGACCCCCTTAAATAATGTATTGGGCTTCTTCCTTTGGGAAGTACCCATAAATAACTTCAAAATACCCGCTTCATTATTAGGTTATAAAAGTTGAGGATAATTATTTATATGGAGAAAAGTTGGAGTGACAATGTAATGTTGGCGATGTGGTATCCCCTCGTTATAGTACAAGGCTTAAGAACCTAGTTAACTACTCCGTAATAACATTGATTTAATACAATAAGATCCAACATAATTTTTGAAATTAAATTTAAATTTATTGCTTTAAAAACTGTATAACAATGACCCAAGAACAAGATCAAATGTTCAAAATTGATGTTGCATAATCAGAAACTTTGACTGATAGATGTGATAGACGTTTTGCTTAACTATTCCATTTCAAGATATACTTAACACTAACATCAATAATCCCACATCAATTAGAAGAAATTGAAGCAAGATTTACTCAAAGTTGATAAAATATGCCGACTTTTTTTTTTAAAAAAAAAAATAATTAACTGACAAAGACAAAGTTATTATTGGACAAGATTTTTAGAAATTTATAAGGTTTTAATTTCATTGGTGGGAGTCTTTTTAAAGACCCCTTAAATAATGTATTGGGCTTCTTCCTTTCGGAAGTACCCATAAATAACTTCAAAATATCCACTTCATTATAGGGTTATTAAAGTTGAGGATAATTATTTATATGGAGAAAAGTTGGAGTGATAATGTAATGTTGGCAATGTGGTATCCCTTTGATATAGTACAAAGCTTAAGAAGGTAATAAATTGATAATATCAATTTAATACAATAAGATTCAGCACAAATTTTGAAATTTAACTTATTAAAACTGTATATAACAATGACCCAAGAACAAGATCAAATGTTCAAAATTTATGTTGCATAATCAGAAACTTAATAATGGACCGAAAGATGTGATAAACGTTTTAGCTAACTGTTCCATTTCAAGATGTACTTAGCAATGAGCCAATCAGTAACATCAATAATCCCACATCAATTAGAAGTGGTAATTACTTATGCAGTGAACTAAGTCTTGTAATTTATGGCTGACAATTACCAGCATACATGATACAAGTCTCATACTCTTTAGTTTCCGAAATCATACATCGATAATCCAAGAACAAGGATATCAGATATTCAGTTACCTTGCAAATAAGTAGCAAGTCAAAATAGGATCTCTTCTTCGAGACTAAGATAACGGTTCAAAATAAGACATATATAATATACCTTCCAAATTGAAGCATCTCAATTTGTAAGTAGTGCCAACAAGAAAATTAGGAGACAAACTCATTCTCCTAGAGGGATTTATTGAAGCTAAGACTGCGTTGTGCTCCCAGTCTTCGTCTACGAAGACGCTCTGCAATATTGAATGCCAGTTCTAGAGATTGGGAAGCATTGAGTCTAGGATCACAGTGTGTGTGGTAACGAGAGCCCAGATCATCGTATGTGATGGTACGTCCACCTCCTACACACTCCGTTACATTTTGACCTGTCATCTCAAGATGGACTCCTCCAGCATAGCTTCCTTCTTGATCGTGAACATCAAAAAATGCTCCAACCTCGGCCTTGTCACAAAAAGCACATATATCACTTCATCAGTTTCAATACAACTAGAAGTTTAGAATCAAGTATAGCCATAAATCACAATGTATAGGCAGTACAGCAACACTTAGCTCAAAACTTTGTTGCCATGGTTGCATAAACCATAACATAAACAAATACAAATCCTAGAAAACTTAAGATAAGTTTCATTCGAATCATGTGTGCTGACACCTAACATCTGATAAGAAGTCGAAAGTAGTCTTTGGCATTAGCATGAAAGAACAATTCAGGTGGCACAATCATGTGATTGTTTATTCTATGGTTCATTACCTTCAAAGTTAGATATATCAAGCAACTATCATGCTTTTCCACAGCTCACGGCATAGCTTTCTTAGGGATCTAGTATGCTAGTACAAAGTTCATCTTACAATTCAAAATTCCCAAAAGGGATGTACAGATTATATGATTTATAGTAGCATGATAAATACTTGTAATGGTACTTGTCCTGTGCTTCTGTCCATAACTATGTATCTAGGTAACTACAAATAGGGTCAAGCTTCACGGAGAGCATATAAGACTAGTGCTACAAAAGAGTTTGCACTTATTTGAATTGCAAAAATAAAACAGTACATACCCTAATGGAATCAAAGGATCGGGTTTTGAGTCCAGAAGGAGCCTTGATGGTGTTTCCGTGCATCGGATCACTGACCCAAGTAACAATTTGACCAGCACGGCGAACTGCCCTAATAAGTTTTGGAAGCTTTACCCTCATGTTCTCAGCTCCCATCCTGGTAATCACTGTAATCCTCCCAGGCTTGTTTTGGGGGTTCAAAATGTCAATGAGCTTAACTAGCTCATTAGGATCCATCTTGTCACTCACCTGAACCATGAGCAATAATTAGCATCATCAGCATGTAAAAAAATCAAATATATTGTTCATAGAAACATAGAGATTTGTGTAATCACATCAATAAGAGCAAAATTTAAGGAACAAACAAAACAAGATATGTTAACTTTATGTCAAATGTGCACAAGAACCTTGTTTGATAGGATGCCATGGCTAAAGGACGAATTAAAAAGAATTTAACGTATAGCTCCAAATACCTTAATGCCAAGAGGATTAGCAACTCCTCTCAAAAACTCAACATGAGCACAGTCAAGTTGTCGCGTACGCTCCCCTACCCAAACCATATGAGCAGAACAATCATAGAACAAGCCAGAAGTTGAATCTTCTCTAGTAAGAGCTTGCTCATATGGCAAGAGCAAGCACTCGTGCGATGTCCAGAACTCTGTTGTTGTCATGATTGGGTGATCAAGGGGAAGTCCAGCCGCGGCCATGAAGCCAAGAGCTTCATCAACTCGATGTGCAAGTTCACGGTACCTATTGAAAATCAGCAAATGTCAGTAAAACAAATAATTGTGATACTAGCACATCATTTCAAATTAAGTACATTGGCATACATACTCTCGTCCCAAAGACAGGTCAATGCATATATACATGGAAATTCCATTTGATAAGCGAGTCATGAGTGAAATCCCAAATTAGTAGATATGGAACAACAGTGACTCAGTTAAACAATAATAATTAAGGTTTAAAAACTTAAAGTAAGACACAATACTTGTTTCCGTTATCAATCTTTGTCAGACCAGATTTTCTAAATAACATCAATAAGATGAATAGCCAAGTTGACAAAACCTTCATGAACACAGTCAAAGCGAGCAAATACATGTAAAAGGTGATTCATTCAATATTTAAAAGTGAGGATTTCTGAAGTTTCAAAATACCATTTTCCAACAACTAAGAGAACATGTGACATGAGCTGATGAGCAGATAAACCAAAAGCTCCTTCTTATGAAGACAACAAAGCATGAAATACTGGAAATGCAGGAGAGATTCAAAATATATAGCTAACAAAATTGCTCTCAAAGTAAAAACATGTGGCTATGCTGATATTTGGAAGAAGAGAGCGGGCGGGGGGGGGGGGGGGGGGGGGGGGGGGGGGGGGGGAGTATACCTGTCCCCTTGCTCACTGTGGTCTGTGAAATCGAGATTCCAATGTGTGACCCGTTGCATGGCAGCATACCCTCCAGTAGCAAAGGCCCTAAGAAGGTTCAAAGTTGCCACTGATTGCGTGTACGCCCTTATCATCCTATGAGGATCTGGAATTCTAGCCTTTTCCTCAAAGACATCACCATTGATGTTGTCACCCCTGTAGCTAGGCAATTTCACTCCATCCTTCTCCTCAAACCCATCTGATCTTGGCTTGGCAAATTGACCAGCCATTCTTCCCACCTAAACAAAACATCATCATCATCAAACCTTCAATATCATTGATTCATATATAATTCCTGATGCCAATTGCAATCACCTTGCACAGCCAAGGCTGCGATATGATAAAACTCCTAATGCTAGTAACCCAGACTCATCAACTCCCATGCGAAAATATAAAAGTACTCATTATTAGACTCAATAAGGCATAACAAGAACACTTAAACCATGAAACATTCACAAGAACTATATTAACTCCAACATAGAAGCAAAAGTTTTTAATCCGATAGACAAAAGGTGCATGAACTTGAATAACTACACTACTTAATAATATAAAATTTGCCAAGCCTAAAGGCTAAAGGCAAAAAAATTTCCTAATATAGGCCAGCTAAGTTGCCTAAGTATCCTACTCCATGTCCCCATGCAAAAAATATGAGGAATGTCATCTGTCATCGACAACAACCTAACGTGATGCTTTTAAGTTTGTTCTTATAAAGTATAAACTGCATCAATGCTTGGTGAGTCGGACTAAGTCGTGAAAAACTAACATCTCTTGTGTGTTATACTATACACTGCAACATGATCATAAGGTCCTTCAATAGTTCTTATCATCTGTAATCAATATTGAAAACTCAGATAATGCAATAAAAAGACATACTCAATATTCTAAACACAACAAAAAAATAAGCAAACTTCATATAGGAAGCCAAATTATCACAATAGCTTTGGGAATTTAAGTCGTGCCTTTAATCATGTTAATAGCAACAGTGATCATATTGCATTAGACATTCAAAGCATGCATCTTTGGATTTAAGTATTGATATAATCCTTCACTAGACCAAACTTATGACCAAATTTTCAAATTCAACCAACAAATTCCAAAAATTTATCACTCAAATTAAAGTATCCAACTACCATAATCATTAATAGCCAAAATTTGCATCACACATTAATCCACCAACCCAATCAAAATCACTACCCTACCTCCAATTAAACTCCAAAATAAAGTAATAAACCACTCAAACAACAATAATCAATTATTTACTCTTAATACATCCAATCATTTTTCGGAGAATCGAGTAAAACAAAAGAAAACCAATAATAATAATAATAAGAGGGTAGAATTGATACCTTAACAACAGGCATTTGACCACCAAACATAAGAACAACACTCATCTGAAGAAGAACCCTAAAAGTATCCCTAATATTATTAGCACTAAACTCCTTAAAACTCTCAGCACAATCTCCACCTTGTAACAAAAACGCGTTTCCCATTGCAGCTTGTCCAATCCTTTCCTCGAGACTTCGAGCTTCACCCGCGAACACAATTGGGGGAAACGATTCAAGGGTTTTGAGAACCGAATCAAGCTCATTCGGGTTCGGGTATTCGGGTTGTTGAAGGGCTTTCTTTGATTTCCAACTTTCTAATGACCATTTTGGGTCTGGGGTTCGGGTTGTGGTGGTTGTTGAAGGAGATTTTGAGGAAGATGAAGCTTTGATTTTGAGGAGAGAGAAAGTGGGTTGATGGGGTTTTGGAGAATTGAATTGAGGGGAACTGTAAAGGAGAGATTTTGTTGTCAGAGATGATGAACTTGTTGTCAGAGCCATGTTTCTGGGTTTGGATTCCCCTGTTTTTCCTCTGTTTTTTAAGGTTGGGAGATTTTGTTTGAGAGGAGAAGGAAGAAGATGGTGAGGGTTGAATTAGATAGGAGTTCTGAAGTTTGTGTTTTATGTACCCCAACTTTTTATTTTTATTTTTTTATTTTTTTAATTTTTAATTTTATTTTATTTCATTTTTGTGTTACTATTTTGTTTGTACTTGGATTTTTTTAGTTTATGCTATGTAGATGCTAGGGGTAGGTGGGATTATTGTATGGTAGGAAAATTGGTCAAATATTCAAATTCGCCGTCAAATAAAGTTAGAATTATTGTTTTTATAATCCTAGATTTTCTTTCCTAATTGAGTAAGAAGTAATTGTTTAGTTTTTTCTTTAATTTCTATATACTACTTGATATCCTTAAGGAGTCATGTTTAGGTAAGATATTTCTATTATTTTATCTATAGTATAGATTAGAGTATTTTTTTTTTAATTCTAAACATATTCTATATGAACTTAATAGCCCTATCCTATTCAATGTTATCTAAATTATTTCCCTTACAAAAATTCCTATCTAAATTATTTAGATAAGTGAGACAAATAAGCATTAAGATGAGAATTGTACCTAATAGGCTTTGAAATTATGATTCATTTCCACAATGATAATTTGAATCGAGGAGATTATTTATCTTCTCCACTCTTAATGGGCCTAATATAATCCGTAATTTGATTGAATTGTACTACATAAGGTCATGGCCCAATATCAACTTATTATTGAACAAAATCTTGAAATTCTCAATACATTGGAATGAAGAAGTAACCATCTAATCATTGACTATTATATATGATTGACTATGTTTCCTCTTCATTCACAGTAATAACATACTTTTGTAAAATTTGTTAAAAACATACTTTAGAAAACAAATTCCAAATTTTGATACAAGACACCTTCTTCAAAGGGTAATGTTAAGCGCTACCACAACTAGCCTGTTTAAACAATTGAGTACATACCATTATACCAATGCATGTTGAATGAACCCCTAATAGAAAGATTCAACTTGAACTAATCACTTGCTTTGGTGGTCTCATTACAAAGGCTTTGATAGCAGGCTTAAGCTTCTCCGAACCCTTAATGATGATTAAGAACAACAAACGATACAAAACCACCATTCCTAGCAATATAGCAAGATTAACCCACTTTGAATAGCTTGTTTCCACTTGCCACATATCCTTGAGGATTATTGTACCAGATATCGTAGGACTTGAACTCAAACTCGAACTTAATAAACCCGAACTTGTTTCTTGTTTATTAGGGATTTCTAACCCTTCAAACTCATTCTTAAACAACCCTTGATATGCATACTTAGTGAAGGATATGTAGTAAAGAGGGTATCTCCAAAATGGTTTAGGTAAATCACTTGGTAATCGAAAAAATCCAGCGCCTAATATCATTAAACCTTGAACTCCTGCCCCAGTGATTATGCCCATGAGAAATGTTGGTACAATACTTGCAACAATCATCATTAAGCTCTCAACCAACATCATGCAAGAGAAGAGAATCATAGCAAAGTATATAAAATTATGGTAATCTCTCTTAAGTCCCGGTAAGTAGTATGTGATTGCTCCGGGGATGAGAGACACTAGAAGCAAGTATGGCATTGATGATAGAGTGTTTGCCACAACAAAAGATGTTGCCCCGTAATGCCCATTCAATCTTTCACGTTTAAACACCTGTACGTGTGTGTTTAACAACATGACCAAAATTAGAATAATATATTATTACTTATCAGTTTTAAATATCAATGCAATAACTAACAACTCTTTACATCTTTAAAAACACTTATACAGAAATGAAATGAGAGAGTATCTTCATAGTTTTCAAGTGATTTATACCTTCATATCTTCGACAAAGGAGGGAAATCCTCCTATGGTCATGAAAGTTAAAAACGAAGACACGAACATAAGCAACCAACCTTTAGCCTGAAATATTCAAACATGTATACAAATAACATGTTTACCTTAATTGAAGCATACTACAAATTTTTAAAGATGTAACACAATTATTAGGACTTAGGAGCAAAATTCTAACCTGAATTGAGTTGTAATTATACCCAAGATCAAAGAAGATGGTGCCTAATCCAAAAGCCAAAATGAGGTAGACCAAAAACCGCAACCAATAATAGCCTAAATCACGATACATGTTTACAAATGACCTTCTTGTAAGAACTTCACATTGAGTAAATAAACTAGCATGCTTTTTCCTCTCCAATTTTTCACCTTTCTGCAATTAATTTGAATATTAGTTTACTCAAATGCAAAATAATGAAAATAAAAACTAAAAATTCAACAAGAAAATATTGAGTACATTGTGATTCATGCACCTGTTCACATACTGTTGAAATAATTCCTCTAACTAGTTTGTAATTTTCAGATGACTTGTATGATTCCAACAAGATATTGACATTTTCCTCTGTTGATCTTCTTTCGACTAACCCTTGTTCAATATCCTAATAATAAAAGTATTCGTATTTAATCTTTAACAAACAAAAAAAAACAAAAAAAAAATCCAACATTATGTACAAAAACAACAAAGTTAGTTCATAGCATAGTACCCAAAAAAAACAAAATTAATTTAAATTGAGTGTTCTACCTCATCAAAATCTTTGTTTATCAATTCAAGGAAGTGATCCGCCGGGTTTTGAAGTAAAGGGCATGGGTAACCATTGGTTGCAAAAAACTACATCAAAAATTTCAATTAGTTATACAAAGTACTACCTCCGGTAATTATTATGTGCAACTTTTGAATATTTTATATCTTACAAATAATACCTTAAAGTTGCACATAATAATAATAATGAACAGAGGTAGTAATTCATTTCATACATAAGTTTTGTCACACGTCTTTTAATCTTTGTGCAAATAGTCGATGCAAACTTATCCAGTTATCCTAATGACGGCGTAAATGATAAAACTCACCTCATTTGCTTGGTCTCCAGCAGGGCCAAAATAAACTGTTCTACCAGCAGACAAAAGACAAAGATTATCAAACAACCTAAAAACTTGACTACTAGGTTGGTGAATTGATGCTATAATAGTCCTCCCATTTCTTCTTTCATTGCCTACAATTCTACTCATAACATAGAATGAAGCTGCACTATCAAGCCCACTCGTTGGCTCGTCTAGGAAAAGAAGCTTAGGGTGTGTTAATATCTCAATGCATATACTAAGTCTTCTCCTTTCGCCGCCACTTAAGCCTTTGATCCCCCACCCTCCTATCCTTGTGTTTATTGCTTCTTGTAATCCCATCTCCTTTATGCAATCATCTGCCCTCTTTCTCTTCTCGGATTTTGACATGGATGCCGGTAATTGGAGCTCGCTTGAGTAGTACACAGTCTCTTGTAATGTTAAGGTTGTTACCAATGCATCATCTTGTGTTACATAAGCCTGTTTAGATGTAGCATGTCAACTATTAGTCCAACAATAATTTGATCATTTCTAATAATTTACGGAGTAACAATGATCAATTTACATTCATTTTTGTTAAATGTTTCTACTTTTAACTTCTTATTACCCATATATAATACTTAGAAATATTGGCGGCAATCGCAACAAAAGATAGGGTGGAGGCGGACCAACAAATTAAAAATTGAATTCACGAAAATGTACACTAAATGATGTAAATTTTACTCTACCCATATATGAAACCTTTACTTGCAAAGATTGTCATCAACAAAACTGAATCTTCGCTACTTATTATTCTCCTATCAAATTTATGTCTTCAATTATTAAATGAAAACTATTACTTCGTATATTAATTGATTACACCCCTACTTAGGACAACGTTTAGCATTTTCTATACAGCAATATATAAAACTATCACTTATTTATTTATTTTGGATGCAAATGAGGGGCTAAGCCCCAGGAAAAGAAAACGAACCACAATTATACTTCGTATTAAATTAAGGAGGTACAAATGACTGTGGCATAGCCGCACCTACTACATCATTACGTAAAATACAGCAATATAATCATATATTAAACTTAAAACTTAATTACTTAAAACATACCAATGTGCCATAAGTAAGAGCTTGTTTGTAACCATTGACAAAAAGTTTTCCACTTTGTTTGGTGTTCATATCCAATCTTCCTACAATTAAAAACCAAATCACCAATTACATTGATGAATAAATATGCATGGTGTAAACTCTCTAAAGAAAGAAGAAGAAATCAAACAACAACAAACCTGCTAAGGCATCAAGGAGAGTGGACTTGCCACACCCTGAAGGACCCATGATAGCCAAAACCTGACCAGGGCAAGCATAACCCGAAACATCTTCAAGTATATTTTTAGTACTGCCTTCTCTATTAGAAACCGTCACACACAAATCCTCCCATGTTAAGTACACACCGTCATCTCTACACAACTTTGAAGGTGGTGGTGGTGGCTCCATTGCATCTCCGGTTTTAGTATTCATCGTGGCTAGAGAAGAAAGAACGAAGTCTTAACCACCACAAACGCTAGCTACTTATGTAATCAACGAGAATTGGCTAAGAGGATCAATGCTATGATGCTAAATGTGACAATGAGAGGTTGAAGTTGTACAAGAAGTTGTTTTGTAACTTTTGCACGAGATTAGTGCGCAAATTATTGCATGGTTTGTACAAATATTGTGAGTTTGTTAGAAGTTTGTTACATATCTTTTGATGTGCTTTCGGCCTTCAATTTAGTTGTCTGCCTTCGGAAGTTCGGCATGTAGATTGTTTGTATTATCTGACTCTGATGCTATTTTCTTTTTTTCCTTTTTTTTGGTAAGAGATTTTTCTTTCGTTACTCAACATGCCAGCCACAAAAGACCAAATTATTTAATGTAAACCAATAAAATTCAAATCTTAGAGGATTTTCTCCATTAATTGGATTGAAAGAGTAGATTTTTTTTTCAAATGGAAAAGAAATTTGTATCTCTTTAACTACTTTGATTAGCCGGTCGGTAATTGAAATGTTAATTTACTGAAAAGCTAATGAAGTTCTGATGTATAATGATTTAACATGGAACCTTAAATAGATTTAGACAATATAATAAATCAAGAGCAATTTATCGAAGTATGTCGACATTAAAATTAGCTTATAAAATTACACATACTACGTAGTAGTATCATTTGTTGAAGACGATTATGAAAAAATCATTAACATTATTCTATTATTGTAATTTGATGCCGTGAATTAAGCAAGCTAGTGTAGCGTATGAGTTTATTCACCCATTTGGCTATTTCCTCTAAATACGTAGAGGACAATATAGGAGTCTTGGAAATAACAATGAACACTTTGTAGACATCTAGTACTTGATATCTCACCTAAAAGACAACAGTAACGTTGACAAATCAGAAATGGTCACAATTTATGATGGCTTCTTAATATATTTTGGGTCGATCAATAAGACTCTACACTTAGAAATTGAAAAAAAGTTTGAAAATTAAGTTTTCTCATCAGTAGATATTTCTCACATTACACTTTGAAATTTCAACTTCCATGGAAAATCGGCATTATCAATGGCAATGATTTACTTGTTATTAATGCTAAAGACGGCGACCGCAACAGCGAGTATTATTCATTTAAGTTAATGACTGATGACTTAAGAAATCACAAGTTGTATGTATTGAACTATCTTAAACTCCGACTTTATCTTCCTAAAAATAATTTTAAAAAATGCAACCTCAAACCATGATTGGATATTGTAACCAATTTGATGTTCTAGTTTTTACTATTTCTTTTGAACTTGCACCAGTACTGTGCAAACAGGCATATCCTAAACATGAAAGCAAATCCACATTCATAGAACGGTAGTGATAGACCCTGATAGCGTGATTGATATGTTTTCGGCCTTTGGGGCTCTGTAGACCAGGCAGGGATCCCCTCCCCTTCCCACTTTTTTTCTCTCTTTCAAACGCGATTCTAGCTGCTTGTCCTAGTAGACCCAAAAATGGACAGAACGAATACACGGCAAGAAAGACCTACGCAAATTATATCATCCTCAAAAAACTCAAACACATAATTACATTGTTGATCATAAAATTCATTGTTGCTGCAATCAAAAAGTTCCTCAGAGAGTCCCCAAAAGAGTCACCAACTCTAAGGATGATTGATGACAAGAGAACATCACGATATATATCCTCCCAATTACCATCTCAACAGTCAACAGCTTATGTTCTAAACAAACTCAAGCATATTTTTACTAATAAGGGCCGTAACGCATTGGCATTCTGAACCTCGGGGCTTTTCTGCATAAAGGAAACAGAGATTGTTTGAAAACTGACACAAACATTAAATCTCGAAAGCTAAAAATTACTCTGTATTGAAAAGGGGAGGGGGGTAGGGGATGCAAAGTGAAATGTGAACAGAATAAATAAAATAAAAACATTTTGTTATCTAATTATTTAAAGGAGAAATTATACAAGAGCTTTTGAACCCAAAAAAGAAAGACAAAAAAAAAAAAAAATAAGGTCATAAGAACTTACCCATATCCATAAGGTGAGTAGAAAAATGGAGGTGGTGGATATGCACCCCTAAAGCCATAGCCTCCCATATAAGGACTGGCGACGCGCCTAGGGCGAAACTGCTTCATTCCTGGAACATTGGTTCTCTTTGCCGTCACCTTCAGTCATATCAAAGACAAATCAGAAAATGAAAAATATTAAATAAAGGAAGCTAAAGGAAGATCAATTCAGACAATGGTATGGCAATAGTAATTCCAACTAGGGATTTCTGACCTTCAACTGGCGACCATGCAGAACAGATTCACTCAACCGAATTGCTTCTTGAACAGCCTCTGGCTCTACAAATTCCACATAAGCATATCCCTTTGGTTGTCCGAATTTGTTAGTCCGAATGGTCACCCTGTTTACAGTTCCACATGACTGAAAGTGCTGCTGCACCTCTTCAGGTGTGCAAGCATAATCAACCTGCAATGTGTCTTTAATCAGGCTACAATAATTTGACCAAAATAAGATTTTCCTGAAGAATTATGAAAGTCCCTTTGCCTAGTATTGCTAATAAGAAATTCAAATACAAATGAAGTGCTTCTTTAAAATTCAATAAGAAAGCTAAATGACACTAGAACAAAAGCATTAAACTCACAAAAAGTTTGAACAGGATGGGCTTCACAATGCAGAAACTCCCGCTCAGCCTTTCATCTAAGCAATCAATCATAGAATGGGAAGAAAGCAAGGTGGGAGTCAGCTGTCACTCTGTCAGATAGGTTATCAGAAGAAGAAAAAAAAAGTAGTAGATCCATCCCGTGCAGCTTTGTTAGCTAGATTAACCTGAGGGCTTTGATTTCACATGCTTCAGTTTTGAAACGATAAGTTAATGACCTGAGCTCCAATGTTCAAGGATCAACTGCCACAGGAGCTAGGCTGGTGCTTACAGCAATCAAACCCTAGTTGGTAAGTTGTAATGACTCCATACCACGAAATTGTATTCAAAGACTTTAAACTTCACAATGATTCTGGTGGACTCTATGAAATGAAATATCCAGTTGCTCCCTCTGCTCCATAGTCCAAAATTATTGAGATATTGACACAGCGTTTTAAAAACAGTTGTTGAATTTTAAAGAGGGTCAAGATGAAAAGTTAGAGAAAGTGTTGGGGAAAAAAAAGAGAGAGATTGATGCAGTTGAGGAACAAAAGGAACAAGTATAAAAAGGAAGTATGAGGTTTTTTATGGAACACTCCGGATAGGAAAGTTTGAAGCAAATGTCAGGGTGGAAGGGGGTGTTGAGGCCTGTGAGATACTGAATGTAGGGATATACACTCTTAGGTGATAGGCAATTTCTGTCTAGCTTTTGGAAGGGGTGAAGAGACTGGATGGAAGTATGAGTCCAGCTGCAACTACATAGAGATGTAAAGTTGAGTACAGATCTCATCCACTTCACTGAAGAAAGGTTTACCAACAGATAGACGGCGGCAAGAATTTACTTACTTGATTTGGGAAGCAAGAAATGTTGTCTCGCTGTGTTTCAAAAGAAAGTTGTTTCCATTTACGACACATTGGCATGACTATTGCAGCCTATATTACTGAGATATGGGTATAAGAGCCGCATACAGATTATATCCAAATGTCAGACACATGAAAGATATAATATCAAACAAGGAAACATTTTTTGTAATATATGGACTCAAGTGAAAAGCCAAGAAATTCAGAAAACATACGTATTCTCATTTGAGAAAGACTTTTTGGATGTGTACAATGCGTACACACACATTTCCCATAGATTTGTTTTGTTAATTCTTGTTAAAATTAAGTTATCTACCCATTTGTAAGCATATATAAGCAAATTCCCATAATTTCCCTTCTCCTCTCTCTATTACAACTCTCTCAATCAATTTGTGGTTCAAGATAATAGAATTTGAAGGTCTGACGTCTGAATGAAATTTGGAATTTTGGGTAAAATTCAAGATCTTGAAAGGTGTTGGGTGTCTAGCCCAGGTATGTAAAGACAAAATAAAGAGTTGGAATTTCAGAAATTGCAGCCATTTGAAATGTTTCACCTCAGATATTTTTTACAAATATAAATACATGGAGGAAAATCTAAGGGAATATTCTGTTTCACATGAGCAACTGAGCTTTGCTCCGCAGTCAATTACCCCCTAGCCTTCAGGTTCAGGTTTAAGTGTTTAAGCGCTCAAAGGAATTTACCCCAATAATGCTTTCAGCGTCAAATGAAAACTTTAAAACTCTCATAAGCATAAATGTTCCATCATTGCTCATTAACACCAGCCATTAACTTTAATGTGCCTAAACATCTGAAATGTTCAAATTTCTACTCCATTCCAAAGGTCTCACAAGTAAAAACAAAAAAAGTGCCATATTTTTGTATCCTATTTTTCTGTTTCAGACTTTCAGTAACCGTTGTTAAAAAGAAATTATAAGCATATTATTTCCACATCTATCACTATTCAACATATAGTTCAAAAAAAAAAAAAAAAAAAAAAACACATCGCATCCAATCCTATTAAACCTCAAATATTACACTCAAAAGGCCCAAGAATGTACAACTGCTGAAAGTCTGAAACTACACCTTTACACCATCACATTCTGCAGTCATTAAAAGAATTGGGTTCAAGGTTTCTTGCTACAAACCTTTTGCAATTGTCTAAGTCTATAACTCAAAAGATTTGCATTATTGTTTTATATAAAGAAGCAATTAGTTGGTCACACTGGATCACACATCCATACTGACAATAATACACTATACAATCTAACAAGGTAGCATTTTGGTGTTACTGTGCCATGAATTCAAACTACCTCTCTTTCATTTGAAAAGGAACCAAAACAAAAACAAAACAAAAAAAAAAAAAAAAAAAAAAGTTAAAAGGAAGCTTATGTTCTAAATTTTTGCATTGTTCAAATACATAAACAAAGAAGCTTCTTTAGGGTACACATAAAAGCAACCTTTAATTCAAATATCATCAGTAAACTATTAAACTGACAATAGAATTCTGATGGGCAAGAGATTAGAGTGAAATGTTTATAGATTGAAAGTTGCATGTTACAGGACAAAAAGGACTAGCAGCAGAAAATAGACAAAGAATAGTAATTGCATCAGAAACGCTTCCTATCTTTTAGCCAGAGCATCAACCATGATTGATTGATTGTACACATATAGTCCATTTTTCCTGACACTTTATTTCCACTACAACTTCTAAGGTTCTATCACTTAAATATATGTCTAATAATGCCAGAGTGCTATTCATAACTTGACAATGTGAGCTTTCAAATCAAATTTTGGAAAAAAATAAATCCATTTAACAAAACTTCAGGAGCAAACAACAGATGTGTCAAGAAGGATAGTATTGATTTTACTTTTTTCACTGCTGTAATGGATAAAATATTAAAATTATTTACATAGTAGTACAAGATGATCCAACAATAAAGAAAACATAGAAGTTATTGAGCACTTATGCTAGGCTTTTTCAAGCACAAGCAAGACTTCGCAAAATAACTAAAATCTACAAGGACTACTACAGAATACGGATCCATGTGAGTAACAGCAACCTTTTTGATACCATAAAAATGGATCCTGATAATAATCATCATAGAAGTGAAATTTAAACAAAAATAAGAAAAACACATCTTTAATCATATACAGAGTATAATCATATAAATATAGCTAAACATGTGTAAGAGTTTGACAATCAAATGCTTTGTTCTTGGCTATCATCTCCAACCCTTCTATTATAAAGGAATCATGTGGTTCTGCACTCCATGGAAAACCTCTATTGGGAGCTTTGCCAGCTAGGTTGGCAATAGAGGACTAGCAACTATCAGCTTAGCCAGCTTGGTTATAGATGACTAGAAATTATCACGATGCTGGATTCCTCTTCCAGCTCATAAGGTATTATAAACTAGCTAGTCAAGTAGTTAAAACAGATTTCTGCAGATGTCATTCATAGTTGGGATGTACTGCCTAGTTGCCTATCCACCCTCAGGCCTCAAATAGTGAATGTGAGTTATGTGACATCCCTGATCTATGGATAACACCTCAAATTTTCAGGAGGGGTTTGTATGGTCAGTGAGGATATCATGAGCGCACAAAACATTGGCAGCATATAAACATATGAATATGCTAATAGCAGCACGATACAGTCAAGCCAAGTATAACATAATCAACCTAATTAGTTACAATCACACACTGTATGATTGCAAGTACAGAAAGTATGCATCACAAAAGCTATATCATGAAAATCAGAAAATGTGTCTTGATAATCTATGAAACTGGTAATAGGAAAAAAACACTCACATTGCCCACAAACACTGATCGAGAATCAACTTCCTCTCTGTTTGCTTGGTCAGCAGCCGCAACAGCAGGATCTGCAAGACACAAAATCCTTAAAGAACTGAAACTATTGAGTCATGAAATCAACAGTAGCAGACTAGCAGCATGATTGCTTCCAATCCAATAAAGAGAAAAAGTTAAATCAAATTGAAATTACACTTAAGGTATTTAATAATAAAGAAATTTATAAAATATAAGAATCATTCCATGCTTAAATATTCCAAAACTTAAAAACTAAGTTATTAAATAACTTCCCAATTATGTTCACAATTTCCTTTATGTATATTCTTTTAATAATTAGGTGGTGAAGCAGCCAATAACAATGTATGTACTTGAAGCTTAACAAGTGCCCATGGAAACTCCTAAAACAAAGGGGAAGCAACAACTTCCCTTTCATTCCTGTATTTACTGCTGAAAGATTTACATTTGACGACATCTTTTATTCATTAAAACCCTTTTTTGATCAAAAGTCATGCCCTAAATTGCAAATTTATAGAGTCAATGGATGTAAAAGTTTTGTATATGACCACATTGCCAACAGATTTGCAGCCATGAATCTCAAAACCTCTAAAGCACCAGCTCATCACAAAAGAACAAGCTGAAATAAGATCTATCACGACACACAACTACTTACACTTCATTACATTGGCAGGATTACATGACGAATAAAGAAGAGTGAAAATGTAGCGAAACTGAACAACGTTTCCTAGACATGAGATATCCGGTGATAAGTAACGGTCTACAATTCATACATCACGCATTAGACTCAGTGATTACTCTGCTACACATGGAAAAAGCTCGCATGATAGTTTATTCAATCTACATATCAATCAAAAGCTTGATCAAAACAAACAAATCCAACCAAAATTATACAACAGAAGCCTCTAATTTCAACATAAGATAGCAAATTCCATGATCACAACATAAACACAATCCATACGACAATATTTTACGTTCAATTGAAATTCCACACATGATCACCAATCAGAACCCTAAATTAATCAATTCTAGCAACAAATCGTCTAAATAATCAACAAAAATAATTCGAAAAAATACAGTAATTTTCACAAAAATAAATTTTTAAAAAAAAAAGAAAAAGGAGAAATACCTTGAACAGAACCCATCTCCTTCTCAACTTTGGCCTGCATCTCACGAAGAGCAGCGGCTTCATCTTCCATTTCCTTTAACCTCTTTTTCATATCTTCAACATCCTGAAATCAAATTATCACACATTTTCCGCCATGATTAGGGTTCGAAGAAAACTCATCCAACCAATAAAAATCAGAAAATTTTCAAAAAAAAAAAAAAAAAAAGGAAAAAGAGGAGAGAGAAAGTAGAAACCGCAGAAGGTTCAGCGTCGTTGATATCGGCAGCAGAAGTCATGTCGACGTCTTGCTCTTCCGGCTGCTCCATTGTCGTCGTCGCTGATTTTCTCTCTCCTCTCTCTCTCTCAGCTGCCTCGAGACAGCAGCGGAGGAGCCGTTTGGTGTGTGTCAATGTGGAATTATTCTGATTTTTATTTTTATTTTTATTTTTTTACTATATTGAGAGATAAATCTGTTAAGTACTACAGAGTAGAAGTACTTTTTACTATCATGTCTATCAACATTTGTTTGAGATGGGCTTCCATTTAGAGCCAATTCAGCCCATCAAATAACTTATTATAGTATGACTCTTTGATTGGTGGTGAATGACAGAGGCTAGCATGGTTCGGGTTGAGTCAAGTCAAGTCGAGCCTTTTGATAATACCTAGGATCAATGTTTACACATTTTAATTTATGGTCTTTTTGAATGAAACTAGACGTTGTTTTGGGTGAGATAAGCACTACTAACGACTAGTGATTAACTGATTACATTATAGTTGTAAGTTTACAACCTAAGATTAACTTTGTTTGACCGACTTTTATAACTCATGACTAGTTGTGATCATTAGATATAACTTGACATCTAACATCAATGTGTTTGGGGCTTATAATAACAAATTTAAATTATTTACACTTTATCATTTATCACTCTCCCAAAAAAAAAACACAAAAACTCGTATCATACTTAAATGTTGGGCAGGCTTCCTTGACCTTGACCACCTTATCCCCAAGGAGAACTGCTCAATCTCCTCACATGCCGCCAAACCATCGACTCATCTAGTCCAACCTTCCTAAGATAACTAATGCAAGCTTCAACTATCATCTTCAGATACATAATCTAAAGTATTTTGTATTACATCTGTATCTTTCTATTATAAGAGTAAAGCAATACAATTTATAGTTTCAGAAATTTCAACAATTGTTTTTTTGATTTAGTGGAAATGATTAGTTGTTATATATATATATATATATATATATATATATATATATATATATATATATATGGGAGGGATCCGGTGAGAATAGGTTCATATGTGAGAATTCATACTTATATGAGAACTGATTTTAAATTTAGAACATGTGAGTAAAAGTTTAGAACATACGAGTAAAAATTTAGAACATGCGTCTGAGTAATAATTGAGTAATAATTTAGAACGTCTGAGTAATAATTTAGAACGTCTAAGTGAGTAATATGTTTAGAACATTTGATTTAAGAATTAGAACAAGTGATTAAAAATTTATAAAATCTGCTTTATGAAATTTTAAACATATGAGTACAATTTAGAACATTTGATTTAAGATTATGAACATGTGAATAAAAATTTAGAACAAACAAATATAGAATATAGAAAGTGTGAGTAAAAAATTTAGAACATACGAGTAAAAATATAGAACATACGCTTTAAAATCTGTAACATATAATTAAAAATCTTAGAACACACATTTTAAAATTTAGAACATATAAGTTAAAATTTTGGAACAAGTTATTTAAAATTTATGATATTAAACTTAACTAATTTATGGTTTAGAACATTTAATTTAATTTAGAACACCTAAGGAAAAGTTTAGAACATCAGATTTAAAATTTAGAACATACAAGTAAAAATTTAGAACATAAAGAGTGTTCTCACATAAGAAAAATTCTCACATAAGAAAAATTCTCACAAGAGCCTCCTCGGGGAGGGATCCGGTGAGAATAGGTCCATATGTGAGAATTCATACTTATATGAGAACTGATTTAAAATTTAGAACATGTGAATTAAAATTTAGAACATGTGAGTTAAAATTTAGAACATGTGACTCAAATTAAAATTTTGAACATATGAGTAATAATTTAGAACATTTGTGTGAGTAATATGTTTAGAACATCTGATTTAAGAATTAGAAGAACTGATTAAAAATTTATAAAATTTGCTTTATGAAATTTTAAACATATGAGTAAAATTTTGACTTATGATTTAAGATTATGAACATGTGAATAAAAATTTAGAACAGACTGATATAGAATATAGAAAGTGTGGGTAAATAATTTAGAACATACGAGTAAAAAAATAGAACATACAATTTAAAATCTGGAACATATAATTAAAAATCTTAAAACACATGTTTTAAAATTTAGAACATACAAGTTAAAATTTTTGACCAACTTATTTAAAATTTATGACATCGAACTTAACTAATTTATGGTTTAGAACATGTGAGTACTAAATTAGAACATTTGATTTAATTTAGAATACCTAAGGAAAAGTTTAGAACATCAAATTTAAAATTTAGAACATGCGAGTAAAAATTTAGAACATAAAGAGTGTTCTCACATAAGAAAATTTCTCACGAGAGTCTTCCCCTATATATATATATATATATATATATATATATATATATATATATATATATATATATATATATATATAATGTATTTGTGTGATTTTTTATTAGGTTTGGACTAGTTTTGTATGGACAGCTATGTGCTCTCTAGAACCTCATAATAAGGTTTGATCTCAAAATCAATTGCTAACAAAAGAAATCATTTTTCCAGCTTTATAAATTGATCATTTTATCTTACTCCACAATTTCCATATCTATAATATAATATAATGTGTAATAACTCACATGTAAATAACGGCAAAATAATTTCAAGATTCTTCACTCTAATGTTCCCTTACCTAAAATAACAATGATTGTGATTGATGCCTAGTGATATCCGGTCAAAAACAAAGTTTGGAAGATGTTGGATACAATATGTGATCAAGATTAATGAACATAAACTTTATTTTTCAACAACAAAAACATAAAAAAAAATTAAATCAAAGGACACTCTAATACACTACTTTACTTCATAATTCAGCCAACTGTACAAAAGTTTATCCAAATGTCATTTATGTGAGTTTTGAATTGGTCCAAGTATAAACCACGTCTAGAATAAGAAAAGAAAAGGAATAGCAAATAGTTTCCCCAATCTCCATCGTCATAATGTTGTCCTGCTTCATTATTGGACGTTTTTCTTGGGAAAAATTGCCAAACTAAGCGTTTTTGGGAAACAATTTCTCAAACAAGACGCGTGGCAAAACTATTTACCAAACTAAGCTTCCAGAGTAAAACGTCAACCAGGATGGCGTTTTACCCTGGGCATTTTTTTTTTTTTTTAATTTTTAGTCAAGGATAAAACGCCATCAAGGGTGGCGTTTTAATGCTGGGCAAATTTTTTTAAAAAAAACACATTTACACAAAAACGCTAACGCCGTTGGCGTTTTACCCTAGTGATTTTTTTGAAAATAATTTACCCCCTAAAGCGCCACCATGGTTGGCGTTTTATCTCTGCACACAAACACAGCTACACAGCAACAGCAGCAACAACCACAAGAGCTGCAACAACAACAGCAACTACCTGAAGCACAATCAAGGGACCACTGATCTCCCATCTACTACGCTGGGATGCTCTGCAAAGATGTCGATATAAGGTTGCCAGACACGCACTACCCCAGCTGTAGTCACGTATACCCTCCCAGTTGTTCTCTAACAGCTGTAGGTAGATCAACTGTATGTGACTACCACTCTTGTTACTGAATAATGATCCTATCAACATGAACAGGTACGCTCGAGCGTATCTTTGGACGACCCCATCATCGGCATCAGGAGGCAACACCCCAAATGTCTCTCGTAACCATATGTGTCTTAACCCTGTGCCTCTAACATCGGTCGCCTCAGGCCTCACCCCTAACACCCTCTCAACAAGGCCACGAGGGTCCTGTATAATCGGTCCTGTAACTGCCCTACCATGCACTGGGAGCCGTGTAAGTATCGCCACATCTCGGAGCGTGACGGTGGCCTCCCCAACTGGTAGATGGAAGGAGTGAGTCTCCTGTCTCCATCTCTCAACGAGCGCAGTAATAAGCGCTCGATCGATCAGTGTGAAGGCCATCCTATGAAATCCGCCGAAACCCACAAAATCGATGTACTGTAGCACACGGGGGTCGACCACCCAATCTACCACCGTGGTGGCAACGTGGTGCCTGCAAACCAAGCAACGTGCTGGATCACCCTGTACAAGAATAAAAAATAAATTGTTTGATCAGTGAACCAAATAAATGCCAAACACAATAAATATTTGGTAGATGAAAACTTACTATCTGCTCCCATATGTCACGGCTCCGATGGGTATCCTGAAGTTAGCGCTTTTGTGTTAAAAGTAAAACGCCAACGACGTTAGCGTTTTTGTGTAAATGTTTTTTTTAAAAAAATTTGCCCAGCAGTAAAACGCCACCCTTGATGGCGTTTTACCTTTGACTAAAAATTAAAAAAAAAAATTGCCCAGGGTAAAACGCCACCCTGGTTGGCGTTTTACCCTGAAAGCTTAGTTTGGTAAATAGTTTTGCCACGCGTCTTGTTTGGGAAATTGTTTTCCAAAAACGCTCAGTTTTGCAATTTTACCTTTTTCTTGTCTTATTATTTCCTCATAATTTTGTGATTCTTTTTTCTTAAATACCAGGTGTACTGTGTACAAGCTAAGGATTGCCCAATAATTTTTCTCATGACATGAATAGAAAATGTTTTGTCACCTTTCTCTTACAAATATTTATCCTTTACAATACCTTCAATTTTGATACTGCGCATGTCATTGTGTTCCACTCGTTCTCAAACGAAAGTCTCATTTTGTTTTCGAAATCTTGTTTTTAAAACAAAAAACAATTGAGACCTTAAATTGAAGACCAAGGGTATTATTAACTTAATTTAGTACTCCGTACAATATAACTTATATAATTGTATACACTATACACTACATAGGTACATGAAGAAAAAACATGCTCTATAATGAAGAATATATTTAGATAATTATTCTACCCTTCTTCTGGAATGATATAAGGATATTGATATTTTAGTTTGCTTAATTTTGAGGGAGACTTTTTGTATTATTATTATTATTTTATTTTATTTTTGTTGGTTTGGAAAAAGCTAAAAGTTAATAGTGCAACTTGTACTCCGTAGTAGTAGTGTAGTACTGATGGGTGATGGCCCAACAATTATTACTATAAAAACAAACGTAATCCATGATTATCTTATGCTAATCTTATTAAGATTATGATATTGATGAACATGCAATATGTTAGAGTATAGAGTACAATTTATTAGTTGATTCTTGAGTAAAAATCTAGGTAGACAAACCCAAAAGAGCATATTAAAGCAAACACATCTTCTTGAATGGAGTGATGTCCACAATCATAAACTCAATTGCTACGT